GAAATATTGCTTTTTAGAAATCCAGTGGCCTTAATAAAATCTACAGCGTCGAATTCCTTTCTTAGCTAAATCCTTAATCCGTAAGTATTCCATCCATGTCCGAACGTTCCATTTCTAGATCACTAAAATGATCGTAACTGTCCGAAACTAAATCATCTTGTGCTTCCAAAATTTATATTACACAACATCAGAATAACCAGCGTCGAAAACAAATACAAAGGCATTCAGCATGAAACACGTTCTCACAGCGGAGGTCCTGTAAAACACGTGCTTCCCATACATTGTCCAGCAGTCGAATTCTTCTGCTACACGGGCTGAGTCAATCTTTCTAAGCCACGATCGTGGAGCCAAAGGAGCTAAGAAGGAAAGGAGGGGCTAACCCCGCACTGCGATTGAAGCACTGCTTCCAGGCTTTGGTCTCCAGATAGGGTGTTTTATGTTTACAACCAGAAGTTTCCTGGACAGCTTTGATAGTATTTCGACATCGACAGCTCTATACAAATACATAAAAAAAAAAAAAAAAAAAAAAAACGAGACACTTCCGCATAAAAGAAACATCCATTGCGTGATGGATTACGATCTGATGACAATAAGATTAATGTTTAAATGTGAAATGGATAGTTACTATTTATTATATTATCAGAGAATTGTTAAACTGAATAAAATCGTAAAGAGAGGTATTGAGTGCTCTGCCAAATTATATTTACTAGAAGATTTAAATTGATAATAAATGTATACTTAAACATGCTTTAAGTCAAAAGTTTGAAACTTGATGGCTACATGCAAATATAAAATTATGCATGTTAAAATATTTGTAATTAGGCACATAAGTCAGGTTAAGTTTCTATTAATAGAGTAAGCATCAAGTTATCTGCCTAAGGGAAATGCCTCGTGGGGAATTCAAGAAATTTCCTTTGAATGGGTATTAAAATAATGCCGTAATTTCTTCAAATTATATTATATCTATATACAATTTCTGATATAGTATGCTACTTATTGTAATTCTTACTAACTCGAAAATATAGTGAAGCACCGAAATAAGATTTGCAACACGCGAACATGAAAATGAATATTATAGGTCTTTATGCATACGCTTAAAACGCATGTATACTGCCTTAACAAATACATAACATTTATCAATCATTATAAATGTTTCGAAAATAAAGATTATTCTTCAAACTCCTGTGAATACTATGAAGAATCTATTTTTATATATTTAATTTATAGAATTATAAATTTATCTAAATGTATATACCTTAACTTACTGTAAACATAAACTGAAATTCTTGCGTTGATAAAATATTTAGTAAGATTTTAAAGGCACTGTAAGAAATTCTATTAATGCGTACTTAAGGAAGTAGTAGAGACGAGTTTTTAGAACGATTTGTGAATTAAGGTAAAAAAAAGCTGATAATATTAAAGACTTACCCTGCATTTATAATAATTCAGTTCAGTTTAGAACTATTAAAAATATCCTCTTGTTTTCCTTTCGAATATTTCAGTCAAAGTTCGTACATGGAAATAAGCACCATATTTAACGTATTTCCTATTAATAAAGTTCTTATTTGAATGGAGCGAATAGAGCTTAATTATAATGACTCGATTTCGATTAAAAGATGCCTCAGAAGCTAAAAATCAAGCATATTTTAAAAAATTTTTAGGAAATCTGTAAAAGAAAAGAAATAAAGCGTATTTTAATATTAATAATAGAATAAATTTTTTTTAGTTTTCGTAATCTTAACCGATAACGAATACCGCATTTTTTCTAATGTAATTAACGAAAACTCGTGACGTATTTCATTCAAATTAAATAAGTAAACTATTCTGTGAAAAGTATGCATTCAATTCCGTTCAGAATTCAAAGTTGTTTAAAAATATATTGTATTCTTTTCACATACCCAAGACTCTAAAATATTGCAAAAAAAAAAAAAAAAAAATAAAATATTATACTTATATGTAATTTACGACGTAATTACAAAGGTTTACATCCGATCGTGTCAAACCCTTGATCCCCCCCCCTTAATGTAGTCACTGAAGGTTTTGGTCGCCCCATGAGTAGAATAAGAAGGAGCGCCCTAACAAGTTTCCTTCCTCCGACCCTGCTCGAACACGGCCGATCCCTACGTGGTGACCAAACATTGGCATTTACCATTGGTTTCTATGGGTTTGACGCGTTCGGGTGTAAATTTTTGTAATTACGTCGCATCTATTTATATATTTTTTTTCTCACACTTCAGAGTCCTAATATGTGAAAACATTTCATTCGAACGGAATTAAATGCTATACTTTTCAAGGACAGTTTTTTTCTCAGAATGGTTTAATTTGAATGAAATATTCACAAGTATTCGTTAATTACATTAGAAAAAAAAATTAAGGTAATTTGATTTATTCGGTTAAGGTACAAAAATTAGATCAAAGTTATTATTAGTATATTAAATATGCATTATTTCTTTTCTATTTATAGAGCTTCTTCCTAAAATACTTTCTTAAATATGACATGATTTTTTGGCTTCTTTTAAATCGAAAAATTTAAGTCAATTATAATTTGCTCTATTCGGTTTCATTTTAAATTAGAGATTTTAGGAATTGGCGAATCTTTATTATTTCTTTCCTAATAATTTAGGTATTAAATATTTTGACTTTCTCTAACATTCTGAAAGGGAATAAAAAAGTTTTTTTTTTTTTTATTATTATTTAAGCTTTACTGAGTTATTAATAAATGTAATGGATTTCTTTTAATTTACTTCAGATTTTTTTAACCCTTCATTTCAACAATACATATTCCAAAACTCTTATTACGTTCTAAGTGCGCATCTCATAGCATTGCTTTACAATACCTTAACAGATTGCTTTCCAATACGAACAATCTTGCTTAAAATAGTTTTAATAACGGATTTTTCAACAGATTTCAATTTATGTTTACATTCAATATTAGGTTATTATATATTTTAGATAACATTTATAATCATTAAATAGATACTTTATCATTAGATTTCTTCACAGTACTTTCAGTTGTTTAAGTGAATAAATTCTTCATTTCAAATACATTTATAATAATTTTTAATGAATATTTAAGTAGTTTGTCAAGGGATACAGCTTTTTTGCAAGCACATGCTAAATACCCATACATATTTCCTATTTATCATTTCCGGCATGTCAAATCTTTAATTTCTGTGCATTCACTATATTTTCGTGTAAAGTAATTACACTAATTTAGCATACACCCGAAAGTTTTACTAAAAAATTATATGAATAATTTGAATAAAATTATCTTTTTTTAATCCCCCCTCAAATTCAGTTTTTCTCAAATTCCTCCACGTGGCACCTCTCTCTTAGGCAGATCGCCCTTGCATGCGTTACTCTATTTAATAAAAACTAATCGACCTTGTGCCTAATTAATATTTTACATACATATTTTATATTACATTTAGCCATCAAGTTTCGAACTTTTCAAATCTTCTAGAAATAAATTTTGGCAGATCTCTTTACAATTTTCCTTAAATCTATTTTTTGTAGTGCAACACTTATTTTATAAAACAATTCGTAATCAAAATCGCTGTTGTTTTTTATCGAAAAATAACCAAGATGTGATTTTTTTGCGTAAATGTCCCTAAACTATACAAATTGCTATTATCCATCCCACTATGAATTTTTCTTTCATGCGAAAGTGTCGATTTCTATGGAACTGTCGTGTCGAATCTATCAATCAGAATCTTGTCAAGCGAGCTTCTGAATGTAACAAGACACCCCGTCTGGTGACCCAAGCTTGAAAGCAGTGCTTCACTTCTAGCGCGGAATGGCCCCTCCTCCCTTTCCTACCTCCATGGTCGCCACGAAGGGATCGCCAGTGCTTCAAAGCAGTATATGAGGAAAACCGCTTAGAACCTCTCCTCTTATTTCCTACCTCCGTGGCCACAATTAGTAAATGTATGCTTTACCCATTTTTGGCTAATTTGAACTCCAAGGAGGGCATTTACATGTATTCTAACTTCCTCGGTTATGATCCCGTCAATGATCTTAGTAATTGCTTGAGAAAACAGCTGTCTCTAAGTCGTAGTTGATGAGAGCAACTTTCAAAAAGAATTTGGTCTTCAATAAAAATGAATTGAATCGATTTTCTGTCTTTCAATTGTTTTAATGGTGGATTTCTCATAATTTAAGTGAATACCGTAATTTGCAGGACTTTGCAAAGTAAGATCTACTTTAATCAGACTTTACATTATAAAGTAAAATGTACAAAGAAATTTAATAAAAATTTAGGAAAAAAAACACACGCGTTTTTGCAAAAATATGATCGTTTGGTAATTTTCTAAAATAAACACCTTTAAACTGAATTTAACATAATTATTTTAATCTTTTACAAATCAAGGACACGACTAAACTCATAAAACAGCAAAAGTGGCATAGTTTATATAATTTTGCGACATGATTTATGCATGACACTCTGCATTTAAAAAATAAAGCTGGATTTTATGCGTCTGTAAACTCAAAATAAATTTTAGTTGAATGTGTTGCGAAAAGGCATCTAATCTGTACCAAACTGCAAAGAAACACATTTTGAAAAAAAAATTTAAAAAGGGGGTTTCTGAAAGTAGCCAATTTATCTGCACGCTAACTTTTTCTCGGTATCTTTGTTTTACTTATGTTTTATTTTATATCTTTCTGTACTACTACTTGTAAATTAAATACTAAACTTTTTCTCTAACCTATTACAGTAAATTTCATTTAATATTTATTTTTAATGATTAATAAATTTGATTTAAATTCCAGACAGTAATGGTTAGATTTTAAGTATATTACTCTATATTTGTCTTAAATGTTCAAAATATTTTTTGCTTTATAGTTGTTTATATATGTATATGTATTCTATATTTATTCATGTATTCTATTTTTAATCATTTTAAATGTCCTAAGACTATAAAGTTATTTACAAATGATGTAATGCGAGTACTTTTTTCATAAATATTACACTCATCTAAGCAAAACATCAATTTTTGCAGGGTAATCAAGCCAAAGTTGAAGATTCAGAAGATGATCCCAAGAAAAGAGTGGACAGGATTTTTGAACAGTTGGACAAAGTAAAATTACTAAAGAAAAATAGTGCTTATTTAATAATCATTTTTGGTTTGAGGTCTAAATATTCATTAAAAAATTTCTGTTTGTTGAATGAATTTTGCGGCCCTAATTGCAAAATAATTACCTTAATGTTTTATGTATTTTGTACATTTATTTATACTTCGATTTGAGCGATTTTTCTATTTTGCAAAATCAGTATCATGCCTTTGAAAAGAATGTTTTGCATAAAAAAAAGTAATGAGCTCATAAGATTTAGTTCGTTCAGTTTTTTCCCACGTGAATCTCATGTTTCAATTCCATTCCGACCGAAAGATGCAAATATTAAGTAATTTTAAAAGGCATACCCAGTAATTAACTAAAACAGACTTTTTTAAAGCAAGTTAGATTGAACACATACTCTATCCATCTTATTAGTTATAGCTGCGATATTAAGGTATCCTTGTCCATATATAAGAAACGTCAGGCTTGATTAGACGCTTTAATCAATCAGTTAAAATTTTTGTTATTTGGAAACTGTAGCCCTTTTGAAAGAATATCAAGCAAAACATCTTTCGTAATGGTAGTAAGCAAAAGCCAAAACTAATTGAATTTTCCCATTTCTGTTTAAGATATGCTAAATTATACTGTAGATGAACGACTCTGGTGGAATTACACTCTACTAGTGTTAGTCCTGCAAATTGCAGCAAACTTCACCCGCAGCTTCAAGGCACGATTCATTGTGAGTACACATTTTCAGGGCAGAAACTCCTGCACAATCTAATACACAGCATATAAAATATTTTCAAACTTTTATTTCGGAAAAGTTGATAACAAGACTTATTAATTTTTCTATGTATTTCTGAAAATTGTAACACTATCTTTTTCTACGTCATGTTCTATCGTATATTTCCTATGCGTTTCCGTTTATTCATCTATATTTTTATTTTATTTATTTATTTGTTTTGAAAAATAGGCAATTTTGCATTTTGAAGATATATTAGGCATGACAAAATAAATATCTTCTGCAATTTCCAGGCTCTTAGCGGCAAAATAATTCAAATTACAGTGTATAAATTTATATTAAAAGGAATTTTATCTGTGCTGTAACACACAAAAAAAAGAAAAAAGGAAAAGAAAGGAAAAAAAGCAAAGAAAAAGGAAAAAAGTCAGAAAACTTTGAGGTCGAGATATCTTGAAACCGGATAGATTAGATGGACTTCAACTGCATTTTATCCTTGTTTTTAAATTTTGATGTAGAAGCGATGTTATGTATTCATATATAAATATAAAGTTTCATCATATATAAATTTTAATTGCCTGTTTCTCTTCCAGAATCATGATAACCAGCTTTCTTTAGAAGAATTCAAAGAAGGCTCCAAACATGATCCGAAGATCGTTCAAGCGTTGACGCTGTACGCCCCTTAGCCGCTCCTCTTCTTCTCCTAGCATTCCACCAAAAGCACAAGATGACACACAGAGACTCTTTTCGCACATATCACTCTGACCCCCTCTCCTTCTTTGTCTTTCTGTTGCTGGGTGCCCATCTCATGGTTCCTGTCTACTTTATGTAGGGCAAATATTTCGAAAAGTAACAAAAGTATTCTGTAAACGTCATTTCTGGAAACTGAAGCAATCGAAATTACCTATCCCAGAAATTAACCATAATCCACAATTTCTTCTAAAAAAAAAGTTATGTTTCTAATGAAAAACGTAAGGCATTTAAAAGTTATTTTCTTGAAGTGGACAAAAATTTCCTGGGAATTAAAATGTAACAAATATATCAGGATTCCAGGAACTTAGCTTTCTAGAACTTTCTTTTGGTAAAATACACAGCCATTTTTAACTGAACGTTAAGGTTTCGCATGCGTGAATAAATGCTAAAGCCGTCTGAATTCTCACTGAATAAGAATAAATAAAATCTTAGATACAAAATCATATGCCAGATATTATTTTAAGTACAAGTGCAATTTAATGTCTTCTGCTTTATGACGGTAAATTAAAATGTACGACATTTTGCTTTTCTTGCATTTAAAACTAATCTGAAGCATTAATAATTTAAAAATAAAATCTTTAAATTACTCTTCATTGGAAGATATTCTGGTTTAGCGCAGATTATGTCTTGGAAAATATTTTGATGAATATACATCAATTATCTTAAAAGTATTCTAATGGTATTAAAGGAAACGTTAAAGAAACGAAGCTATCTAATAAAACTTAATAAAAAATTATCCTTATATCAACAATGATTTATGTAATAAAATAACATTATGTTATATTTTACTTAATGTATAACAACATCTTGGGAAAATATTTGGTTTATAAAACAGTCAATTGAAAGCGATTGATGGAAATGCAATAGAAACTACGAAAGAAATGAATCTACGATTAGAGCGAGAGATTTTTAGCGTCTCTTATTAAATTTCATGCAATATTTTTAGCATATTTTTTTTTGCTGCTTTAAGCTTTTCATTGTTAAGTTTCTAAAAATGAATAACTTTAATCTTTTAAAGTAAAAATAATTTGATAACCTTTAAAAGTTAGGAAATATTGCTATAATTCAGTATTTTTTTAAATAATAAACTCACTTATAGATTGAGGTAATTGTGTAATAAATCTACACCAGTCTCATTCTTTGAGGAGATGATTAAAACATTTAGCTTTTATGAGTTAAAACTGCGTTTTAGTACATCGTTATACGTATAAAATTTGGTAAAATACAACCTTTGTTGCTTAATTTTACATTTTACTTTGAAATATTTCTCTTCTTATTAAATCATAATGTCATTCAAATCCAGTTATCTTTCGTTATTTGAAATTTCCATTTATAATTATTGTGCTAACTTGCTAAAATATATGTTCAAAGCTAAACTTATTAAAATATATATTTCAGATTCATCATATACTCACCATTCATAATATACCAATCATGGTTCAACTGTTTTATTCTGATTCTGATAAAATGTTAAGGAATTGCTTAAAATGTCTTCAGTGGAGTATATGTTACTTAAATATAGAAATATCTTTAAATATGCTTTTTGTGAAATTAACCATAATATTTCGTTAACTATATAGAAGTTTTTTCATATTGTTTGAACATATCATTTTTATAAAATTTATATTGTAACTTTTGCTAATTAAAGTCAAATTCAGATAAAATATACATAAAGGTCATTCAAAAAAATCGTAGGAATCCTGTTATAACTTTTTCTTTGCAGTCTTTAATAATGTGAAATAAAACTGAGCTTCTTATTTGAATATTTACATTTTCATTTGCAACATCAGTATTAGCAATACTACTTAGATATGCATTTAGATACTGTCTACCTAAAATAATAAGAGGATTCATCCGAAACGTAACCCCAGTGATTAATGTATTCTTTCTACAATGCTCATTTTAGGTCTCGATGAAGTGCGCTGTACTTTTTAACGTAACAATTAACAGCTACCAAAACTTCACTCAGACCAATGATATTTAATTAACAAAAAGATTGCTAAGATAATAAACTTAAGTGTAAAACTTTCAGTCACAGACTGTAGGCCAGCGGCGGGTCTCGGCTTGTGATTAAAATAAATATTTCGCGTAAGCAAATATTCATGAAAAGTCTTAAATGTTTTCGCATTTCTTTTCACCATTTTAATTGTTAACTAAACTAAGTTAGATAGATATGCCATCTAAGTACAATAAAGCGAAGCGTAATCTGCATATATCATACAAAATTTCGAAATTAATTATACTTATTTTTTGTAAGTTTGACTATTTTTCTGCTTATCAAAATCTCCTTGAAACATATTAGTCTTAAATGTCACTTTGTATTCAGCATTTAAAAAGTAATTCATTTTATATCATGCAAAACATAATATTTTCAGATACATCCAAATTACTATTATTATAGGATAAAATTTAAACTCATTGCCTTTTATATGAACGTAGGATTTCCGATAAAGAGAGACTATTGAAGAAATATTTAATGAAGGAAAGGAGGATTATGGGGCTTAATGGGCACCCATTGTTTGGACGCGCCTCTTTCATTAAGGACGTCTGCGCGTGGGATGACAGCTCCTAGGGAGTCCAGTCTGAGGGCAGAGCCCATAATGCTTTAAGTTGATTACCTGATCGATGGCAAAACACGATTTTCGTTAATATGTAATCGAATAAGATGCAAACGTCTCAAGCGTTTTTGGAGCTCTTCGCTTTCTTTGTTTATAAATAATTTATTTATCTAAATAGAAATCATAAAATAAAAGTGGATTATTGTATTAAATGTTTCAAATGCATTTTCGACAGATAACTTTCTAAGATAATTATACTTTTACGATATGATAGAGATTAAACTGACGAGTTTTTCAATTATGGAAAATATTTTCCACTTTCAAATGTTTGCTAGTTGATATAAACAAGCATCGATTATTAAGGATGTATGCATATATCATTTGCGTTAAGTCACTTATACTCATTCAACTTCTTGTCAAGGAGATACTTTCAGCTTCATTTGAAAGGACTTCCAAATAAATATGTGTGAGCATAATGCCCAGTGATGTACTTGAAAAATTGGCATGCGCTTCCTAAAAATATTCTTAATCAACTCCGGTTAATCTATCTCTTTAATAAGGTTCGTCTAGATATTAATTAAAATTACCCCATTTTCGCATCCTTTAGTTATGCTGCATTTTAAAATATGTACTGATTTTGCATAGATGAAAGTAGTTTACCAAACGCGAAATTGGTTTGAATGCATCATATATGCTTGGATGCCTTTTCAAATTGAGAACTTTCGTGGTGAACTTTCTCCAGTAGCTCATACAAAAAATTCTGATCTGTAAAAATTGTATATAGAAAAGTATATGAAATAAAATTTAAATTTAACTATATATTCTCGAATAAATACACTTTTGCTGTTAACATCATAGCTAACATATAATTTTATGAAAGCTAGCCAGTAGATTCTTATATTTTTATTTAATTAACCTGAAACAAATGCTACATTTAAATTTATATCTTACATAACAACAACTTTATGGAAGAGCATCACGCCTTCATTCAAAAAAATAAAGTCCATAATATCTTTTCAGCAGAAGCTATGAATAATAAATATATATACTTATGATTCTGTAGAAGTAGTGCGAGGACTCTATCAAGTATTTTCTTTTGCAAGATTTAAGGTGGCAATGCGAGACGAATTCCGCCCGAAAGAAAAGTAGTATTTTACCTTTTTACTCCAGGACCTGACATCCCAGCTTTCTTTCGTCGTATTCATTGTTTGTTTGTTGAAAATCAGAGTCGAAGTTGCAGATTTCAGTTCTCTCTCCCCAGGTTCTTCATATTACCTTGAATCAAGCTGAATCAAGGTAGTCAAGATAAGTTGAATCAATATACCCATGTGCATTGTATTAAAAACCTGTTGTGTATTAAAAACTTGTTGTTGTGTAACCATATGTATTAAAAACCTGTTGTGTATGTTTTATTTGGATTAGAATAAATCCAACCTAACATTAAAATAGCATCAAAATGCTACATCATTCTTCCATTTGCTGCCGAACAAAATTATTAAACTTATATTAAAAGATGGAAGCAAATTTAAAATAAAATCTTTAGTAATATTTATGGAACAACGTGAGGAACATTTTAGTTCTGATTACTCAAAAAGAAACGTCACCATAAATCTACTTTAAACCACAATTTTTAATTTTGATATCGCCTGTATATTTAGTTACGATTTTTTTTCTTCGGAATATGATGTGAAATCATGAGTTATTTGTTTAAATTAAGAGAAACAAGAGAAATTGAGGCTACTTTGAACAACAGGAATAATCACATTATATATTACATACAATCTACGATACAAGGACCGTTAAACATAGAATTTATGCTTCTTACCCTAAATACAGTCCCTTAAAAAATATCTTCCAGATATTTCTGTTGCACTATGAATCCCGGACTGCTCTGATCCAGCTATGTTTAGGCAAATCGTCTCCGTGGCCTGCATTGAAATTACATCCAGATCTGGAATTCCTTGCTCCTGACGAATATGGGCCAACCTTCTCTTAAATCGCATTGACTGTCTTTCTTATTGAAAGCGAAAATAGATTACAAAAACTGATTTTTTCCTACTATCATCTACATTTGTATTAAAAATGTATAATTATTTGATTATCAAAAAGCCTAATGAAAGCTTAACAAAACACGAATTTTAAACTTTTCTCAAACATTAGCAATGGATATTAAATTAACAACATACACTTAACTATTTCGAGAATGTGATTATGTTCGTCGCAGTAATTACATTAAATAATATCTTTCAACCAAATAAACCGAGTCTAATAAGTTGGAGAGATAAATGCAGCATTTGCTAATTTTCGCTCAGAAAGCATTAAAATAAAGGTCAATGACTGTGTATTAATTCTCAACGTATTTCCTTTCAGGATAATGTGACATAACTAACAATCAATGACCATTTACGTATGCAAGGCTCCTTTCATTTCTGTCCACTATATTATGCCAAGACTATTGGAAGAATGATGAATTTTAATAAATTATTCTTCATTTGCAGTTACAGAATTATCACATAAATGCTTAAAACATTAGAAATTTGTCCTTGTTTATTGACTTAGAACTAAGCAATTTGCATAAACTACATTCTTTCCTAGCTGGTGAGAGAATCTGAATGCTGTAACGAAGCGTGACTCGAATTTCTGTCACTCTCTCCGACCCCCCTCGTAATATGTGCGTGTAGTGATTTGAAGTGTTTCTTTCTGAATATGATCTCTGTACTATCTGTTGTGTTGCTCCTTTTCATGTAAATGCATTTCTTCCTTCATCAACTGTTAAGCATTTTAATATATAATGAAAATATAAAACCAGTTTCTTAAAAGTGTTGTCTCTTTCTTTGGATTTACGAAACACATTTCAGTTCACCTAATGTCACTCCGTAAGAATATTCCACATTGAATAATTAAATATAAAATAAATGCAGCGTAATATCTAAGTACGTTTATTTCATTCATTGAAATACAGTTTAAAAGTATTTACATTTCCGTTGGCACAATAATGTATACTATCATCAATAATCTTGCATTCTGGCTAACGCTGTAGAGAGACATATATAGTCTTGAACGTCATTGTTTTACGTATGGTATCAAAAAACAAGAAATTTAATTTAATGAATAATTATTTTGTTAAAACATAGTGCTTATTTGATTATAACTTATAATTTCTGTTTTAAAAAATAATACAAAACAATAAGTTTAACGAGTGATATACAAAGTACTAAAATTTCGATAGCCAGTAGTCACTTAACTAGGTATATTATTACACTATAAGAGCAAATTACTTTCAAAACAGTTTCTAAAAAAATTTGAAACTATATGGCATGGATGCTGAAAGATCATATTATAAATCACAACTTCTTAATAACTCGAAAACACTTATAAAGTTTAGGACTGTAGCTTTATTTCACATCTCCTGTAATTACTTTAACACTTTCGTCACAAAGGTGGAAACTCTCACTTCTCCAAAACGCGAACACACTCTGAGGTTTTCTCTTTTTGCACAGCACTGCTCTCTTGATGCATTTTCTACATTTTGCAGTTCATATATCACGCAGGTAAGACTGAACATCCTCCCGCCCATTGAAATTGCAAATTTCAATATGAGAATATCAAAACAAATTTTGCAATTTGAATAACAATAATATATAATAATAAAACACATATTACAGTAGCATTGTATAACAACTTAAATGAATATAATTATAACATAATGAATACAACACAATTGCAATAATACCATATAGTCTAACTATGGTTTGGCAAAATACATATGTGACGACTACTTCTTTAAAGAAATTTTCCATCTGGTAACCGTAAATTCACAACTCTTACCTTTCCATCATTGCCTGGAAATATCTCAGCAATTCTAGCAGCCAAACCATTTGGTTGGTGAAAGATTCTCATCCTTTTTAAATACAATAGTTCCAACTTTAACATTACTTTTATCAAACTGCCACTTTGAACTTTGATGTAAATTACTAAGATAATCTATTCGCCACAAGTGCCAAATTTTTTTTACATAATTAGTTATTTTTTGTCACTTAGAAAGTCTGTTTTCGAGGATATCTTTTAATTTAGGCTCCGATATAGAGGTGATTTCTCTGCTGATCAAAATGTGTCCGGGGGTACAAAACTCTAAAATCATTGGGATCGGAAGACATAGGAGAAAGAGGGCGAAAATTCAAAAACCCTTCGATTTGTATTGAAATTGTTACAAACTCTTCTATACTTAAATTAGTATTTCCCACGACGTGTTTCAAATGGTATTTAAATGACTTTACGCCAGCCTCCCAAAGACCGTCAAATTGGGAGCCTCGGGAGGGATGCATTTCCAGTCAATACCTTCGGAAGATAAATATCCTGCAAAGTTCATCAGGAGAACTCACCATATTAAGCAATCTCCTTAACTCTGCTGCCGCACCTACAAATGTTTGTGCGTTATTCGTAAATGTTTTCTAGATTTACCTCTTCGTGAAAAAAACCTTTTAAGACAAGAAATAAAAGTTCATTTATGGGGTTAGATATGTTACGATTTCCAAATCAATTGCAATATAAACTTTGTTAAATGCACCTTTACGCTGGTTTTTGTATTTCACAAGAAAGCGTCCATAAAAAAAAAAAAAAAAAAAAAAAAAAAAAAAAAAAAAAAAAACGATTACTGTATCATCATTAAATGTGAAATTTTCATTAACACGCTCAGATGACAAATTTCCCATTAACTGAGAAGAAGTAGAAGGATTTGCCTTAAAACAAACAACGCACTGATGACAAATTTTTCTGTAAATATTTCTCCCATTTATGAACCAGTATTTTTCACTCACATAATATAATAAAGTTTGATGTCCCACATGAAAGCCGTTTTTGTGAAAATACACTATAATTAATTTTGTTAAATTATTTTTTGGTGGAAGCACCACAGGATGTTTTTTACAGAACTCAAGAGTAGAATTTTGGAGGCGACCACCAACTCTAATCATAGAATTTTTATCGATAAAAGGGGCTAAACCTTTTAGCTTACTATTGGGGCTACTATTTCATCCTTAAATAAACTTTTCAGCTCTGTCTAAAATTCTTGAGATTGTACTTCTCTGATTAAGAAAATCTCTGCTTGCTTTTCTTCAGCAGCGGCTACATATCCTGACCTTTTGGTACTCGGGTTTTTTATATTATAGATGAACCTGAAAAGAAAACTTAAAACACGTAAAATATACAGAAAATCATTACTTAAGTCATAAATACGATTTAAAAAGTTTAGGTCTTTTGTTATACTAAAAAGTTTCAAAGAATCAATATTATCACAGCCTTTCTTCAGTTCATTAAAATACTCATCCTCAGTGAAACTAAGTTCTGGAGGATCAGTAATAACTTACTTTAAGAAGGCAGGTCCAGTCCACTAAGTTGAATTATTTATAAGAGAATCATTACTTGCACCACGGGTAAGTAAATCAGCTGGATTAGCCTTGCCTGGACAATGATGCCACGTAGCATCAGTTGTCAAGCCTTGTATCTTCTTCACACGATTTGATACAAATTGTTTTTACAAGATTTCGTTCTCAACCTTTAACTTAACTTAAACAACTGCTCCATAAGCCTTAGTGCTAGCATCCGAAAATGTATGAATTTACAGTTCTGCATCTTCATCAGTAAGAGAACCAAGTATATATCTCGGAACCTTTAAGGTTTAAGTTGTGGAACTTCTTTAAAACACCTCATTCACTTTTCGCTAGTATAAGGAGGTAAAGCTTCATCACAAGAAATCTTTCTTTGCCAGATTTCCTGGAATAGGCACTTGAAACGGATAGTAAGAGGAGTCACAAGACCCAATAGGTCGAAGATTCTTCCAGCAGCCATTATTAGAAACCACTTGGTGTTCCTTTCCTGTTGGAGAAATTCTAGCAAACTATTAATTTCTAAGGATAGGTAATCACTACATGGATCCCATAAGAGATCAAGAATTCTGTAATTTATCCCTTTAAATCTTCTGGACATAACTGCTGAAATCCTACAGCTTTCCACTCCTTTATTAACCTTTCAGAATTTGAAACCCACTTCCTTAAGGGCATCTCAGCATCTCTCATTATTTTTTCGGCACCTTTAGAAATTTAAAAGGCAGATGGAATGTCGTCATCACCTGTAATAAAGTCATCTACATGAAAACAGGTGTCAAGCGTTTGTACTGTAGCAGGAAAGTCCCTTCTGTACTTTTCTATATGGTTTTTAATAGTTACTGCCAATCAAAAGGGACTAGCATTTACCCAAATAATCCTTTTGAATTTATATACTATACATTATTCATATGGTCAATGAAAAGAAATCTCACTGCGTCTCTGTCTCTTTCACGTAAAGAAATTTGCAAGAAAGCCTTCTCTGTATCTGCCAAGAAGCATATTTGGGTTTAAATTAACTTCCTGATATAAACAATCATTTAGAGATAATTTTCCAGGTTCATGCGAACATCAAAAACAGTCCTTAATTTAGTAGTTAATCTCTCTTGCTTTACAACTCCATGGTGGGGTAAGTAATATAAAGATTTATTCACTTCCTTAACTGGGCTCATCACTTTCTCAATAATTCTCTAACTCAAATAATTATTCAAGACATGACAATAGTCTAAATACAGGGAATTATCACGCTCCATTATCTTAACAAGGTGTGCAAGTCGATTTTTTGCAATATCATAATTATCTTCAAGTTCCTCCGAATTTCTCTTCCAAGATCGTCCGTCTTTAAAACATACTGTTTCATTGAACATCTGTAGGACTTGGTATTCCTCATTTCTCAATTCGGTATCTTTAATACCAAGGGATTCTAATTCCCATAATTTTGTTAATTCATTATCTAAATCTTCGAAATTGTTTACTAATTTCGAAGTTACTTTTCTTCATAATTTCATCCACAATGAAAACTGTTTTGTTTACCTAAATTTATAGACCCACTCACTACCCAACCAACCAAACACTGTCTCTTGCAACACAATAGATTCCTCTTGTAATTTGATTTGATTTGATTTGAGCAGCAGGTAAAATATATCAGCTCCCAGAAGAGCATCGATCTTGGTTGGTTTATAAAAATTTGGTTCAACATAACGAACATTTGTGGGGAAACAAGTTTTCTTAACATCCAGTTGTTTCGAAAGAGTAAGATCAGTAATATTATCTAAAATTAAAAATTCAACATTTCTTTTAAAGTCTCCATTCGAATTTTCCACTATGTTACTTGCTTACTTTTAACAGTTAGAATCGAATTATTCAGGACAGATATAGGAGCATTTATTGCTTGTGTTTTCATGTGTAACATATCCGCGATTTCCTTTCGAATTAGGCTGACTTGACTGCCTACGTCAAGAATTGCTAAAATGTTTCTTAATTCTCCATTTACCATTCGAACCTTAATCACAGCAGTAGATAAAAACGTGTAAGTTTTTCGACCTTGGAAAAAAACCTTTGCCCTGACTTCGAGAAGGATTTATGTTCACATTCATAACTCGATCCGACAAATGACTGATTTATGGAGGTTATGGAGGAAGTTCCCTTTTTGGTTTCGAAACTAATCTCGTTCGGATTTAATTCACTTAAAATGTTTATTTCACTAGCAGACTAGCATTATTCGGAGCGACAGATGCTTTTTGAGAATGTTCACTATGGGATGAATTATTATTTCTTTTCTCAAAGTGAATAAGGGTGTTATGTATTTTACCGCACTTAGCACATAAAAATTTTGAAGAACACAGTTTTACAGTATGGTTTAAAAAGCATTTAAAACACAATCCTTGCATTTTTAGAAATTCAATCTTATCATTCACTGATATATCTTGAAATTTAAG